CGTACAGTTGTGGGCTGTATTCTGCATATAGTTGTGGGCTGTATTCTGCATATAGTTGTGGGCTGTATTCTACGTACAGTTGTGGGCTGCAGTCTTCATACAGTTACGGGTTGTAATTTACCTATGGCTGTGGACTGTATCAGTCCATAGATGAGAACACTGCTGACAGTCCATACATGAGAACACAAAGCCTTCCTAAATCACAGAGTTCTAGAACAGAAACTCATGACTTTGGGTCCCAAGTGAGGCTGCCTTTCCACTCTCCTCCAGCTGCCTCACACAAACCTCAAGAGCTCTCTGCTTTGGAGCCTGGGGGTAAGGAGTGAATTCCCACTGGTGCTGAGAAGAAAGGAGAGGCCCTGACAGGGAGATGAAAGCTGGGGGCAGGGGCACCAGAAAACTGTAACCAGCTAGTCTCCTTTGCCCTGAGAAGACCTTGGAATTATGAACGATGGTCATCTGTGGTTGCCAGGTTTGGTGTTGGAGAAGGCAAATGCTGGGCACTCAAGGTTCTCGTCCTGCAAGAGTGCCTTAGGGATTAGGTTAAAGAGAGTGAAGGCTTTTTCAAGTGATGGACAGTGTCTGTTGGATGACTGACTCAGAAAAAAGGAGTGGCAAATCTTGAGTTGTCAAAAAAAGACTTCAAGACTCCAGGAAGGATGATGGCGATGGGAACTCTACCCAGAATCCTTGTCTGCTCTGACTCATAAATACATTGATCTTAATTTGTTCTGAACCAAGATGGGAGATGCATTCATCTTAACTTTCTCTAAGAAAAAAAAAAAATAAGGATAACGACACGTTCCCCAGCTATGGCATGGAGACGGCTGTCTGAACAGCTCCTTCCAAAGCTTTGAAAAGAGCCCCGAGGAGCACACTCTGAAATGAAGCCAAGCAGCACTGTCCCCACCCTACCCCGCCCTGTTCCCCAATCAGCATCCCCTGGCTCTAGGAGGTCGTACCCACGGAATGTCTTGAGAAGCCAACTCTCAATATTGGCATGTTTAGTGAAGTGGCTTCCTTAACCACTGTTAAGAAGTCACAGAAGGTGGGCCCTCAGCTAGGAACCTTCTGGGCTTTCAGTCTCTGTGTACAGATCCAGCCAGGTCACAATGGGTTTGTGGAATGAGAAGTTTTACGTATCTCCTCCCTTCAGGTACAGAACCCCTTTTCTGCCATGGAGTGGGGGCAGGGCTTACTCAGTGGGCTCAGGAGTTCCATTAGAGATGGGGGTGCATGATAGTGTCACACCAACGTGTGCGTGTCCAATGCCATCAGACCACATAGCCTTAAAACTGGCTAAAATGATAAATGTTACATGTGTTTTAACTGAGAGGGAAGAGAATTTGTCTTAGAAACCAACTCATGAGGTTGTGAGGCGAGTTCTGGGCCAATCCCGTCTATGCACAGGCAGACCTTTTCTCAAATGTTTAAAAAAAAAAAAGTGAAGTAGAATCAGAGTCACAAGAAGGGTAACTGGTACCATTTTAGTAAACTTTGGAAACCATCACAAACGACCGGAAGAAGAAAATCTTCTAGTGGGCACAGCATGAAGATGATGCAAGCTGTTTGCTGGAAGGCGAATGAGTAACTCAGGTGAATCACGCCTGCTTCCTGACTGTTCAAAGATCAGTCCCATGGTCCACTGTGTGATCCAGAACCTAAGAGGAGAACATCAGATTTCTGGGCAGTGGTTTTCAGCTAAAGAATCCAGGCATCCAAACCCAGTCTCAATGCCTAGAACACACCACATTACACAGAGAGAAAACAGACGTCATGGGCGAGGGAGAGAAAGGGGGGTTCTTTTTAAATAGGTTCAGAGTTTTCACTGGCCCAAGAAAGTTCTAGAAATAGGGTTGATTGTTACACAAAGATGAGTGTATCTTTTAGTGTGCAATTGGGTCTTATTTTGTGTGAATGTACTTAAAATCAACAAACTGTACCTTTTGAAATAATTGTACTGGATTTTACCATGAAACAAACTAAAGATTTTTTTTAAATCTTAAAGGAAACGGTTATTAAAGAACTTGTATCTATTGGGAGAGGGGCTATATTTCATAAAACAGGTTGCTATAAATCTGAAGCCCATTTAGACCATACCTCAGCAAACATCCGACCTGCGTCATTGGCTAGCAAAGTCCTGTTAGGCAGAAGTTTCCAAGAGACCCAATCCTTCTTCTCTGGCCTCTTAGATCTTTCCTCCCCCTCGACTATTTGGAGCCCTAACTGGACACTTTATTTTATATTGGCACGCACCCATGTAAAACAAACAAAACACACAGGATGGAGGGGGATGGTGAGGTCAAGGCCCATTTCAGACTTAAAACAAACAGCCAAGAAAGCACAAGCGACCACGGTTTGATTTGGACAAGTTCAGCTCTGGGAGTACGTGTCAGACAAGCCAATTGTTTCCAGATCTCAACAGGCCAGAGATGGAGAGAGCAAACGGTACCATTTATCAGAGCAAGTTCACACAGGGTGGAGTCGAAGTTAAGGGGATAGAAGGGGAAAACAAGAAGAGGTGTTAAGGCTGCCTTTCAGTAAGCTGTCACCGAGAAAGTCCAACGTGTTCTAAAACCCTGCTGGATGCTGATCAGACTGGGGCTGGGGGTAGGGAAAGAAACGGATTACCCAGGTGGCAGCAGAGGAGGCAGGAAATGGTGACTTTAGGGCCAGTGGGAGCAGGACACCTCCCTGCCTCCCGGGGAGCTGAGCAGAAAGGCTGCAACAAAGCCATCACAGAGAACACACAGCCAGTTACTGAGTGGGTCGTAGGCTGCCCAGGTCTGGATGGCATCCTAGGAGTGATGTAGAAACCACAGGAAGCGTGGGTCTCTTGCCTTCTTGAGGAGCACCGAAAGAAGACAGACCTAGACGACCCGTGGGTTCCATGAGCTCCTCTCAGGAGTTTGGGCACCAGGACAACAAAAGCCAGGCACAATGGCATGTGCCTTTGATCCCAGCACTCAGGGGGCAGAAGCAGGTAGATCTCTGAGTTTGAAGCCAGCCTGATCTACAAAGCGAGTTCCAGGGCAGCCAAGGCTACACGGAGAAACCCTGTGTCCGTAAGCCAAAAGGAAAAGTCAAACAAAGCCATCAGGTGTGGCTGGCTGTAGATGAACTCCACAAAGCCCCCATGTTCAGACCAACAGCTGCAGAATGAGCCAGACGTGTCGGTTTGGGGATCTCTAAGCACAAGCCTGGCTTCCTCCCATAGCGTGGCGCCAAACCGTTGGCCACGAATTGGGACGATTCCGCTCTTAAGACAACTGTGTCAGTTTGAAGCCAGTGCGTCGGATGGTCTAGCCGTCTTTGACATGCCCACTGAACCCTGCGCACAGCAGGAGCCATGGCCGGAGAAAGAGAAAAAATAATAATAGCGAAAGCGTCAATCAGATGATGTGACCCAAAATCCCAAGTGTGACAAAGAGGTACAGCTCAGAAGGAGCCCCCAGAGAGCAGAAGGACCTGGGAAGCAGAGTTGAGATGGTTCCTGGGGAGCCCAGCTTACTCAGAGATGCGTAAATGCTTGGGGGTATTAATCCAGTGTTACTGACGCTGCCCACAACTAATAATGAAAGAAGTGTATTTTTCACTCCTCCAAAGGATGGAAAACAAAACCTTACTTGGATTAGTCTTATTTTCTTCCTTTTAAACTTTGTTCCTTCAGCTGCCAAATTCTCTGACTTTTTACAAGGATTATGATTAGCTGTGCTAAATGAAATCTGTTTTCACTGTGTGCTCTGTAGACTATCAAAATGAGAAAGCGACAGAAAACGGGCCCCACCCACCCACCCCAAACACACACTCTCGAATTCACTGAGCCACGTGTTTCTATCTAAAAACCATCCGTCTTGTTATCAGGCCCCCTCCATGCTTATGTCCCTGCCCACTGATGGTTGTTTTGCACCCTCTTTATTGGGAGGGTTGAACCCGACACTCTCTAAGATCCTTTCCAACCCCAAGTTCCCATGAGTCTGTGTGGAACGTGGGGTTATAAATTGCACAGGGAGCTCTGAGAAAGGAGCAAGGGGCACAGCAAACTGAACCCTCACCCAGTCCTGGCATGGGAGTATGGAACGGCCCATCTCCTCCCTGTGACATCATAGGTACTGTGGGATACGGATGGTATCAAGAAGGGGAGGGGGACAAGGCAGCTGAGGTTTCCCCTTTTATCAAAAGCTCTGTGCACCCCTGCGACTGACCTTTCCTCCCCACTTCTGACCTGGTCCCTGAGGTCCTTCCCCAGAGAAGCCCTAGCGATTACCATCTGCCTGCTAGTGTGCCGATCTCCCAGAGGTGATGCTGTGAGGATCAAGTCATTAAGCCTGCCTGTCAGAAAGAATTCGCGCTACTCCCGGAGGCCCGGCCCAAGGCTCTAGCACATGTCACCCTAGGTCGGTATTTTGTCACACTTGGACAAAGGACAGTGGAGTCAAAGGGCAGCTTAAGCCACATGCCCAATATGAAGCTGAGGGGAATTCTTGGGATTCATTATTGCTGAGGATGGCCAACTGGCCTGAATCACCTTCTCCCTTTTTTTTTTTTTCCCCATGGATTGGCTCTTTCCTGACTTCTGCTCCCTGATGAAATGGTACAGTATTTCTGTCTATTGTGGGAGAACAGCCCTTGACCTGTCTCTCTGCCTTCATGGCCAGTTGATTTGGGCTTTGTTTTTCTTTCTTTCTTTCTTTCTTTCTTTCTTTCTTTCTTTCTTCCTTCCTTCCTTCCTTTCTTTCTTTCTTTTCTTTTTCTTCTCTTTCTTTCTTTCTTTTTTTTTTTAAACTAGTTTGTCTTTTCAATTTGGGGTTTGGGATTTGTTTTTGTTTGGTTTGGTTTTGTTTTTAGAAACTGGGTTTTGTTATGTAGCCCAGGCTGAATTCCCCTGCCTCTGCCTCCTAAGTGCTGGGATCACAGACAGTAGCTGTGCCGGCAACGTGAGAGCTCTAATATTCTTTCTACCAGAGACTAGACAGCCTTCCTTTTTCTAGTCTCTACCTAGTTCCTCAGTTTGCCAGAGGCTCCCTTACAATATTTAGCAACTTTCAGGCCACTCTTGCCTAAGAGGTAGCTCCACCCACATAAAGTTGGAGAAGCCACTGGCCTGGGGGTGTTGTGTGGTTCAAAAGTCACCTTATCTCAGTCAAAACAGCTCTCCACACACCTGGGGTTTCTGCAGATGGGTTAGGAATCCACATATATCATTGCCAATGTGGTCCTTCATAAACTCAAGAGTATGTTAGATAGGACAGGTTTTAGGAACTTTTAGCAGCTGGGATCCTGAGTTTAGCATAACTGCCATTTGGAGAGCCAAGACATTCCTGAAGATCTGACAGCTTCATTCAGCAACTTATGATGAAGTTTTTGAAAAGGACTTGAAAGTTGATTGATAGAATTAAGAATAAAAACTGTGATGAATATGTTAATTGGATAAAGCCTACATGTTAACGTGTTTTAAAATGGTAATTTTCCCATTTCTATGAAGATAAACACATAAACCATTCAAGACGGGGCGCCATCTGTGTTTGATGCCTGATGTATAAGCCTGAGTTGTGTTTCCAGCACAACTTGACCTGTGCTCTGAATGAATGAAATACAGACCATCTAAGCCACTGGATGGACAGCTTATGTAAGTAATGCACGACTGTCTCAAGTCTTTTCAGGCCTTGTGTCACCGCGCTAGTCTCTGAGGAACCCTGGTGAACAGTCACGGCTTTATCTTGGCAGTCCATTGCCTGCGTATCTGTTTTCTCCTCTGTCTTTATGTAATTCACAAACCACCATGCAAAGACGTACTTTTGATTAGGATATGTCAACAGATGTGGCCTTGGTCTCATAAATACAGCACTCAATCTAACTGGTAAACTTTATAAAGGAAGAGAAAATATAGTCTATAGAAAATATAGAAAGTTAGTCAAGGTTGTTTACCCAATATCAACCTAAATGTGGAAAAAGCAGTATGGACTCATAAATTATAAATTAATTATAAGTTATAAATTAATGCTACACCTCAGAAGGACAGATGGACACTGTCCTTTACACTATGATGAGTATAACCTGTGAATTACTCTTCCAGAAAATTCTCCGATGGTTATATGGATGCACATCTACAAAACACTGCACAAGGATGTTGTTGGCTTGTGGTAGGAAAAAAAAACCGCAACAGCCTAAGAATTTCCCAGTAGAGGATTGGCTTAATCCATTGAGTTATCTGAATACAAAGCGACGCTTTGCAACCATTTTTAAAGATTACATTTGTTATTGTGTGTATGTGTGATTACAATAATATATTGTGTGTGTGCGTGTGCATGTGTGCGTCACACCTCTAGAGATCAGAGGACAACTCACACGAGTCAATTCTCTTCTTCCCCTACCTGAGTACCAGGGATCAAGCTTAGCATCAAGCTTGGTGGCGAGCACTTTCCCCACTGAGGAATTTTGCCCCTCCCCCCGAGCAGCCATTCTTAAAGAACGAAAGCTATCCAGATGGAAACAAACGGCTGTAGATTAAATGTTAAATGAAAAAAAAAAACAAAACACAAATTAGACACATATCAACCTAAGAAGTACCCTTGCAATCATACCCATTTTACAGATGAAGAAAGAGACTTTCATTACAAAAGCAAGCAGAGGAGCCAACACTGGCTGTTTTCAGGATCCATGTGCTTACAGGGTCATGACAGAAGCAAGAAAGAACAGATGACCTGACAGGTTTGGCCTTTTTAGGAAACACTCTGGGTCTGATGACTAATGTCACTCCTTTCCCTCTAGGGAACTCTTCCAGACACTGCAAGTATTTACCTGGTTGAATGGAAACAAGGTGTGAGATAAACTGTAAAGTTTTGGCCGGGGCCTGGCCACACTTGAGCTGGGACATGTGTCAGCACCTCTCACGTCTCATGTCTTCAGGTACCCGTGTGCTGCTATGGGGTGTCACCAGGGAGAGGGCTTCGCGGGCTGTGTTTTCCTTCCCTTCGGGATACAATGGCTTTACAGTTATTAGTACCAGATGTGGCCAGGCAATTAACCAGCTCAAGCGCTGGTGTCTCCTATGTTAAAGTTTAAACAGATCACCTCTCAGGTCAAGGGCTCACACAGCTATCACAGCAGTTCAATTCTGTCTCTTGCCATCATTTGGGGACTGACATTCCTCTGCAATGGAGCTTGTCTTTGCTATGCGGTGAGCATGTATGTGTGCACACACGTGTATGACTTACTCTCTCATACATATGCCAGTCACTCCAAAGCTCCACCTCTCAAGAATTTGAACAACCCTTCTTCCCACTCATTTACCTGGCCAAAATGGAGGTGGGTCAAGAGGCTTCAGTCCTGCTTTGTGTTCTGCTACGGCTCCCTCTGCAACATCAAGGCTCCTGCTCACTTGGGAAATTGGGCAGTCTCCCAATGCAGGCTTAGCTGTCCTGCCAACTGAGAGCTCCCTAAAGCAAAAACTACTAGCATTTGAGTTTTCACAGTTAAAATGGTGTCTAACACACAACAGGCACTCAGTAAACACAAGAGTAAACGACAGCTCAAGTTTTCTACTTTCAGTCCAGCATGTGTCCCCAGAACCATCATGCAGAGAACTGAGTGGACTCGAGGTAGCACTAGCTGTCAGCCTGCATCCTATGTTTCTCTATCCACCGCATACCAGCACAAACCTTTCTTAGCATGGAGAACATTAAGGGGGCTGCCTTCAGGTTTCCCTGATTTTTCTCTTCTCCAGCAGAATTATGATTTGAGAAAAAAGGAGGAGAAGGAGGAGGGGGAGGGGAGGAGGAGGAGAGGAAGAGGAAGAAGAGGAGGAGGAGGAGAAGGAGGAGGAGGGAGGAGGAGGAGGAAGAGGAGAAGAAGAAGAAGAAGAAGAAGAAGAAGA